AGCCCTTCAACACCATGTTTCTTCTCACAATGCCCTTAAAGATAACCATCACAAATGAATAATGGGAAAATTGCTAGACTAAAAATAGCTCATTAAAGCACTGGGGACATCAACTAGAGGAGTCAGCCCTCAAGGCCCCGAAGGAAAGCAAGAAAAACAAGGGCTCAGTTTTTGTCTGCTTACATTAAATGGACTGTATTTGAATGACCTTGTCCATAGGCATATTCTAAATTTTTTTCAACCAGTTTTTGTATTTCAAAGAGGCATGTGTGTGTTTTTGTGTTTTGTTTTGTCTTGAAATGAATACAAATGAAATAGTTAGAAGCAGATTCTGCTAAGGTAGCTCTTTATGCTTTATTCCATGTTGAAGCTAATCACCAAGTATGACAAAGGAGGAATAAGATGCAAAAAACGCTGCTTCCCACTTCCAGAAAACACATGGAAGCTGCAGGCAGAAGTTTGCTAGGCACCTGTTTCCTTATACAGTACTGTATGCCAAAGGGGGGGGGGGAAGAGAACACATCTTTGCATATTTGTTATGTGCTGTCAAGTTCGGACTGGCTTATAGTAACCTTAACAGGACTTTCAAGGTAAATGAGGTATTTACAGAGTGGTTTTACCAATTACACAGCAGCCATTACTGAAGATGCAGACCATGTTTTAAGCTGAAGATTTTACAAGGGCCTACAGCAGTTGCTCCCAAACCTTGCTAACCCAGATGTTCTTGGATTGCAACTCCCAAAAGCCTAAACCAATAGCTGGGTTTTCTGAGAATAACAGTACAAGACCACTTGGGTTACCCATGATTGGGAATCACTGGCCAAGAGAGTGACAGGGTTGCGTCCTATGGTTGAGAAAGTGCACAGCAGAAAAGACAATGTTGGTGAATAGCTACGAGAAATTGTGTAACCCTTTGCATATTTATTCAGAGGTGTGACGAAGTTCACTGGGACTTATTCCAGCATCAAATGGGGATAGCAAAGCCAAACAAATATGCAAGTACTACTGTGTACAATGGGCACATATGCATATTTTGTGTATGTACATGTGCGATAGACAGAGGCAAAGAGAAATCAGACAAGAGAGGAACATATGCATAAAATACATGAGCACACAAATATTTACAAATGTATAAACTGTTATTCATATCAGTTTGGCCATCAGGTGGTGTACACACATGCAGCTGCTGTCTCTCTCTCTCTCTCTTTGTTTGGTATATCCAATCTTTGTTGCTTCCCATAAGATAGACATTTTACAGAGGGCAGCATGAATCCAAGGTTTTGGCAGGAGGAAGATAAGAGGAGTTGATGTTTACAGTTTCCTCTTCCCTAAAACATTACATCTTACAAGATGTAATGTCTCTTGGCTAGATGGGCAGTATATCAATCAATCAATCAAACAATCCTGAGTGGAACACATCTCTTTTTTTGCTCCTTACTAATGATTTTAGCATACTACTACTATTACTGTTGTTGTTACTCTTAATATAATATCAGCCATCTGAAAGACTTTGTATCCATATTCCACTCCAAATATATGTTACATATTTCTATAGGACCTACACTGACATTTCAGTGTCACCGTATTCTGACCTTTGCTTTAACTCAGTAAGCCAATCTGTTCCCTAATATATTTTATTTCCTTTATAGTTTCCCAGCTTCTCTTTTCCTTACCAAAAAAAGAGAGTACTTCTTCCATCCTTTAGGTTAGCCCCTAAATCAAATTTGATCCCATGGATCTCCTAAATCAACATCCCATCCCCACCTCGACAATCCAGCATTTCCTGCACCATACTGTAAACTGGCTGAAATTAGCAGACATGCTAGGGGAACCCTGGAGACAAAATGACATGAGGTTGTTGTTGTTTTTTTAATTAAGTTGCATAGCTTGTGATTTGCATAGCTTAAAATCATGTGCAGTCTCCATTCATTTGATCTTACTTTTTCCCCAAGTCCAAAAGCTGTAATCATTTTTTCCATTTAAAATAAGTATCTAACAACGTAACTAAAGTTACTGGAGTAAGACAGATGGGTTTTAATGAAGGAAGCTTTGGGCACTTGCTGGATATGGCACTGAATTTTACAAATGGTCTTGCTAAAAATAAATCCATTGCAAACTAACTTCTATTTAGCAACTGTTTTAAAGTGCGGCTGGAAAGCAGTTTTAAACTGACTTGCATGCAACAGTGCTGTGATGCCAGTTCCCAAAACAAAGGCCGTAAAAATAACTTGCTCAAGCAGCCCAGAATGAATTGCATGCATGACTACCCCAAACCTAAGAAGGTCACAACAGACAGCAGGACCTTTGTAAAGGGCACATAAACAGCTCTGCTCCTTTGTTCTTGAATTTCTTTATCAGCATTTAATTAGCAGGCACTTCTGGCTATACCAGGAAAAGAAGAGTGCTGTGTTGTACACTCTGTCCCAACGTAGCAGCAATCCAGCACAGCTCTTTCTTTTTATCAGACAGTATGAACATACCAGAATGAAGTACATCAATTCCAGTTCAAAGAGCAGGCCATGCAAAGGAATATATATTACACATGAACATCAACTTACATTTTGGAAAGGCTTATTAATAATATTAATGAAAAATATTGGACTGACTGAATATGGGGACAGTCCAGAATGGATACAAACATACACAACCATGCACACAGCATGATGTAGAGACTGTATTCATTTCAAAGGGGCTTTGCAGATCAGAGGTTTCCATGTATTAAGGCTAGTCTCCCAAAAGTAAAACAGTAAAACATACACAGCAGGCAGGGAATTCTCAGGACCAAGACCCCTCTTTTCAGCCTAGAACAAAAAGAGGAATTTTTCGTGGGACAACCTGGAAGAATGTTTCCATTGCTTTTCGAGTGGAAGAAGACCCGTTTTTATTTGTGCTTCTGAAACGTATTAATATAGGCTATAAAATAACTGAGATGAACAATATTAATAACAAGATTCTGTAACTGCAATAACAAGAGCCTGGAAAAGACCCTGATGTTGGGAAAGTGTGAGGGCAAGAGGAGATGGAGATGACAGAGGACGAGATGGTTGGACAGGGTCATCAAAGCTATCAACATGACTTTGACCCAACTCAGGGAGGCAGTGGAAGACAGGAGGACCTGGCGTGCTCTGGTCCATGTGGTCACGAAGAGTCAGACATGACTTAACTACTAAACAACAAAAATAACAAGATTCTAAGAAGTTTTCAGTTCTACAAGACAATGAAAATCTCCCTTTAGTTAAAAATAAAGTCAAAGAACATTCCCTGTGTCTTCCAGAGAAAAACAAAGGGAAGATGCATAATTAGACTAATGGGATCTATCTGTCCTCCTAAGGATATCAGTAAAAGGTAGAATAGCTTTGGCAACATCTACTGAACTGTATGGTCAGCCTACTGATATGGTAATCTCCCAACTATGCAGTTTGACTTTAAACACAGTTCCTGTTGGTGACCTTACCTGATGAAGTAGCAGCATTTCTATCCTCTTCCTCCCCTCTTTGATTTCTTCATTTTGAGTCACCTTTATCTTAACGCTCTGCTAATACAACAGGGTACCCAGTGTGATTTCGTGGAGAGACTAATGAACTAGGACTCAGAAGAACTTGTTTCGATTCCATTGTTTCTACTATGCAAACTCACCAGAGAATGTGGAACTGGTAAACGGTACCCAGTGTGATTTCGTGGAGAGACTAATGAACTAGGACTCAGAAGAACTTGTTTCGATTCCATTGTTTCTACTATGCAAACTCACCAGAGAATGTGGAACCGGTAAACCTACTCCTTAAATACCTCACTTGCCTTGAAAACCCTATCAATGTCACTATAAGTTTGTTATTGTTGTTATGTGCCGTCAAGTCAAAACTAACACAAACAATTTGAAACAGTTATGAATCATTTGGAGGCTGAAATCCTGTGCTAAGAGGAGTAATTCACAACTAGAGGCTCATTTGAATCAATGGAACTAATGGAGGAGTTGACTCACCAAATCCCCATGGATCCAATGGACCTACCCTAGTGCAACAGAATTTCAGCTAACAACAGATTGAGCCATATCCTTAAATTTTCTATGAAAAAATAAGCAAAGGCCGGGAAGAGTTTTTAATGCCACCATCACCATATACAAGGCCTGTTTTACAGATATCATAATTCAAACTTTTTTTTTGTCGAAAGCATCAGATTTAGCAATAAGAGGAAGCGGATGATGAAGAAGAATACTACAGTAAATTGAAATAGTAATAAGAACCTATTTTCTAGGTAGGAAACGATAGCCATAACCCTTTCACAAACCATATGCCCATTTCTTTATCCCAAAGACCATCACATTTGACTAGTCAGTGCCTAATTTTCCCAAAAAGACAATGTTGAAAAGGCAGATGGAAACACTCAAATAAGACCAAACACTCCATTGATACAGCTGTCCCCTGCCTCTCTCAACATATACCAGTAGAAAAAGTCTCCTACTACCACAGTTCAAATGCACTCACAGAGGCGTTCAAGAATATGACTGTCACTTTTTCTAGTACCAGGACCAGAAAGTTTTCCTCAAGACACTGCCTAAGATCAACTCCATTCTCCTACTATAATGCTGCTCCAAGTTTTTATGTACAAACTTCTTACTAGTGACTCTTAAATATTAAGGTCAAAAATCCAATTGAAGCATTCTATATACCTAAGGGCATTTGTGGAAACACTTCTCAGTTTTCTAGGCTGTTTGTTCCTGGTTGCACAAACAGAAGAAGTCACATTGCATGACAGGCAGTGGGGGAAATGGCTCACCTTGCTTGAATAATTGCCCTTACACAACTAAGTAAGGCAAGATGATTCTAACCACAAACTGTAAAGATATCTGTTACCACATTTAGGCCATACATTTCTCATGCTCTGAATTTTCAAGATACATATATAATAAAATGCAGAGAATGTCACAAAAATACTTGTTTTTCAGGCAGCATATGAGGCAGACAGCTCCTCAGGAATGGTTTTAAAAGGTAGAATATGCTTACCCGGGAGATGGTCAGAGGCATGTTGAAGTCTTTGCCTCCTTGAAGCCTGAATCCCCAGGGGGCTGGACCAACCAATGAAACACTGTAATTGTTCATCGTGCTTGGCGATGAAGACTGAGTTCCAAAAAATAAGTGTCTGCAAGACAGGATGAAAGAGTACTTAGCATGTTGAAGAAACGCGCACACACATAATAGTAATAAAGACTTCAGACGATAGCATTATCGTTTTGAACAGACAGTCTGTAGGTAGTCAGTGGCATCTTTTCCCGACTACATGTATAGATCATCTTGGAGTAAGAGCTCTGTTTCCTGACACAAACTTTACATGTACCCCCCCCCAAAAAAAAACACCTACAAAAAAACCAGCAAGAGTCTCTGGTTTAGTTCCAAGTGGAACAACAAACTCTTTTCTCCATATTCTGACATGTACGAACAGAGGCAGATGCAAATGAGTGAATACAGTAAGTAGCTTTTTATTTTGCACAACACTGAATGGTTATAATCTTTGTCAACAAGCAGGGTGGTTACTCTCTCTTGCCTTCATCTGGGTTGTTTTGGAGAGATGAAAAGCAACGTTTAACATCCAAAGAGTTTCTTCCCACGTTTGACTGCTTCCAAACCTCATAATAAACTAGAATCCCTCTAAGAATCCCTAGTTCATGCCAGAGGTCAACAATCAGAGAAACTGTAAATAATGGCTACCAGACCAGAGAAAATCTGAGAAGCTTTGCTTTAATGTTTACTAAACATATTTTTGTTAGCACCATGGGCCAATTTCTGGTCACTAATTTTCCTCATGCTTCAAGTTTGCTCTTCGTTTTTTTACTACGTACACAACAGACTGTACATAATTATGTTATGCTCTTCATTTTTCTGTACTACTAGTGTTTATGCTAGCTGCTATTATTAGTATAGTAGAAAGGCTTATGTGGAAATCTTTTCCGGGGAAAAATCCCTTTCCAGTTTCTTCCTAAAATATCAGTTGATTAAAGGAGTGTTTCTTAATATCTGGCCTGATTATTATAAAGCAAGAAACTCAGATTATGTAACATGGAGCCACAGCTTTCCTAGCTCTATAGAAAGGGAACCTATAAGAACCAAACATTTGTTTCATTTATACTTTCTTTAAAGTACTGTATTCTACATGAAATTCTAAAAATATAGTATCTGAACCTTGATCAACACTGGTTTACTTCTTCATGTGTTGGATTACGGCTCTCATCTCAACAAGCATGGCTAGAGATGGTGAAGGTTGTATTCCAACATATCTGGAAGGCATCAGTTTGGAGGAAACTGGCCTCAGGTATTTATAGAGCATGTTTTTGGTGAAGTGGTTCTCAAAATAGATGCTGGCCTCAGTGCAGAGGCTCTTCATTTTCAGAGGCTTTTCATTTTCTTCTGAAGTGGGAATGCCCTGAATGTATCTACAATACAAAACACCTGGCATTTACCCTTTATAGAACTCCAAGATCAGCATGTGAAAGGTTCTAGATTATGTCTGTTCTGTTTCTGGAGTTCTGAAACAACCCAGAAGCTTATCAGGACAGTATCATTAAGATGGGCCGTCTGACAATTTATCTTGCCCAAAGGCATGGATGTTATTTAGGTTCAGTGTAGCCTCATAGGACTAATCTAAACTTTCAGTGGCACTGCCTCCTCAGTTTCACCCAGGAGGTGTGGAAAAAACATTTATCTACTGTTTAAGAAAGTATCAAGAGCAAGTGTTTGTTTGCTTCTTAAATTTGTATAATGCCACATTAGTGCAATGCACTATTCTGGGCAGTGTACAACGTGGAAAAAAGCATAACAACCCAAAAGGTTAAAATAAAAATACACTGACAAAACCTGTAATTTGAAGATAAAAGGCAGAATATGAGATATAGAATCATACGATCAGGCAGGGTTTCAGTGTATGTACTCTATCACAGGCCAGAGAGTAAGAAATTTTACAAGTTTTTTTGTATAAGATGTTTGCTTTTACTGCTGGTTGAATAACTACACATTATGCTTCTAATTAAATATACAACCTAAGGGTCATATAAAAGCATACTAACAAAGATGGAAATAAAATAATCATCCTTGGACACACACAGGTCACAATACTAAGCAACCACCAACTTTGATCTCTGACATTATGCTTAATAGAAGTATAATAGGAATTATATACTTCTACTGACAACTTCTTATTTTTGAAACAGCAATAAGTATGCATCCATATTTAAGACACCACAGACACCACTATTCCTTACAAATTATTTAAATGATCAAGAAATGAATACTTTCTTTAAAAGAAAAACAATTAGATCATTTTCTTAAAATACATTTATTGGGCTATACAGATTTACCAACACTTACATAGGTATACTGCAATAAGAACAGTTACAACAAGTAAATCATGTACAACAAAAATAAAAAACAGTACAGTATTGTGGTACCTTTAAAGACTACCAGAATTATTTCAGCGTGAGCTTTCATTAAATACCATCCACTTCCTCAGAAAAACAGAACAGAAAAATAAATAAAACCATTACAATTGGGTCTTTCCCAGTTCAGACTCTCTTACTGTAATAGTTTACCCAACTCATGACTTACAAAGCAATAGTCAGAAGATGTTACGTAACACAAGCCAACAATCTGAAAGTGAACTAATTCTGCAAGAAGGTTAAGACACATGTCATGACACTGAAAAATGTTGCTGGTCCATGTGCAAGAGAAGTGTTTAAGAATCCCATAAGGTACATTTCTGTAATACTGCTTACGTGGAAAGCTGTCTTCTGTTTTTATTATTGCTTAGGTAAAAAAACAGTCTTCTGTTTTTATTATTTGGAAAAACTCAGAAGCAGCACTGACTGTAAAATGAAACCACAGCATGGCATGCAAACCAGATCTCAATATTTAAGGTGGAACGTCAGCTAAGTAAGTGATGTGGGCATGTCTATAAAAGATGAGCAAGTTCTTGGTAGCATATTTGTTTGCCTGGGGGACTGACTTCAAATCTATAAAACTGATAACACTGTGCTTGGCACTGATTATGCTAGCAAAATAAGTTTATCACTGCACACATCCCTTATAGGAAAGAGCATGGACTTAATGTTGAGCATGTGAACAAACACTTGAACTGATCATATCCTGGTTTCATTTGGACTGAAGGTTTCTGTTATATTCCCTAAAATAAGACTTATTCCATTTCACCATTAGCCATAGGTACAAGCCAGGAACATACTGCTGTGTCAAGGACAGAGGTTAGAAAGATCCACTCCAATCACACAGAAGTAGTTTAGTTTCCTTTTTAGAAGCTGGAGTGTTAAAACTCTTAGATTAGTATAAAAATTGAGCACTGCCCCTGGACTGCAAAGAGAACAAACCTATCCATTTTGAAGGAAATCAAACCTGAGTGCTGACTGGAAGGACAGATACTGAAGCTGAGGCTCCAATACTTTGGCCATCCCATGAGAAGACTCCCTGGAAATGACCCTGATGTTGGGAAAGTGTGAGGGCAAGAGGAGAAGGGAACGACAGAGGATGAGATGGTTGGACAGTGTCACCGAAGCGACCAACATGAATTTGACCCAACTCTGGGAGGCAATGGAAGACAGGAGGGCCTGGCATGCTTCTGGTCCATAGGGTCACGAAGAGTCAGACTTAATGACTAAACAACAACAACAAAAAATTGAGGCTGTCAGATTTTGGAAATCCCTTGCTCTGCATGTTGTATGAAACTATGGTTGACAGTTACCTGGTCTGATGGAAAGTAAATTATTTTTAATATATATATATTACCACAATCCACAAACTTGGTTTAATTTCAAAGTTCCTTGAAAACAATAACTTTTTCTCCAGTTTCAATTACTTGTGTCATCAATGTTTAAGAATCATGAAAAAAGCACATGAAATGAAGCTGCCTGTAGTCTCTCACATCCACTAGGTCATACTTTGGGTATATTCCAGTGTATTTTTACTCCCTGCTAGCTAGCTGGATAGCTCAGTGGTTTAGATATAAGTCAGAGGCTGGGAGTTCAAAACCCCACTGTGCCTCTATGGAGAAGAATCAGCCTTTGTGGCCTTGGGCAAGCTGCACAGCCCAGAGATACTCCCAGAAAAAGGGAAGAGTAAATACTTCAGAAAACCCTGAAAAGGATTGCAATAAGTCACAACTAGTAGTAGTCATAGAGGATGGTGTCTGAAAGGTGTGACATGGGCTCAAAATTCATCTGAACTTTCTTGAAATAAGCAAGAAGCAGCAGAAACAAGATATTATCTAAGGATGAAATAAACATCATTTTTTTTGCATTGTAATACAGTATCCTCAATCTTTCTGTGAAGAAACAAGTCAAAGGATATGAGACCAACTTACTTGCTAAGAGTCATAACAGAAAGCCTCAGTGCATTATAAATTGCACAAGATTGTACTAAAAAAAAGAAAAATAAATGCCAGTATATTTTAGTGAGGATCTCATATTTTTAAAATGTTGCTATTGTATGTGATTTATCTGAAGAATAAATACTACAGAGTCAGCTTCAGATAAATGTCATAAAATAGCAGCACAAGATGGGGGTGGGGGGAGAAGAGAGAGAGAGAGAGAGGAATGACCAACATCCAGAGAGATTTATCCTTTTCTGCCACTTAGCTACAAAGAGCTGGCTGGCTTAATGGTTTAGGTATCTTTGCAAGTTCAACTCCGCACTATGCCGTCTAAGCAGAGCCAGCCTGTGTGGCCTTGGGCAAGCTGGACAATCCCAGGACACCTCCAGAAGAAAGGAATGGTAAACCACTTCTGAGTACTCTTTACCTGAAAAACTCTGAAAAGGATCACCATAAGTCAGGACCGACTTGATGGCGCATGATGATGATTATAATTAGTTACAAAGGTCCTGACAACAAGGAGGAAACAGGGTCACTGTTTAGCCCTGCCTGAATGTGCCCTGTCACCTTTTCGTGTTTTTTTTTTTTAATAAAAACTCGCACACTACCTTTACCACGCTTGGAATGACCCATTGGCCAGCTGGCTGCACAAAAGGCCCCCTTCCAGTCCTGCTGCTGGTAAAATGGGGTTTTGCTGGGATGAGGCAGAAAACCAAGGAAGGACTCAAAACCCTGACCCACCGCGCGCCCTAAACGCCAGACCCGGAAACTTCTTCAAGAAATGCCTACTTTTTCCCCTCATCGGGCGCAGGTCTTTTCAAGAAGAACCTGGGGGGGGGGAGAGAGCGGAATGGCCAGGACTCTTGGGCAAAGCTGCTTTTCTCTGAACAGGCCAAAGGACTGGGGCGGCGGTCGGAAGGGAAGAAAAGAAAAAAAAGGAGGAAATAATCCACTGAAATGTTTTCAGTCTTATCAACAGGCAAAAAGGAAACTGTCCGCTGCTCGCTCTCTCTCTCTCTCTCCACTCAGGTCTGGTCGCAGCTCTCGCTCTCACACCATTAAGTCAGCCCGTCCCACATTTGTTCATTGCTTTCCTCACAGACTACAGATTCAAGACTGCCTTTCAAGCGGCTCGAGATCTCGCCGGCGCGCCTCGGGAGCGAAGCGCTCAGCAAGGTGCTGCCCAAGCGTCGCCGCCTCCGCCGAAGAAGGAGCCACCCGCGCCCGCGCGTCCCTCTTTCGGGGAGCCCGGGCGCTCTCCGGAGCCCCTGAAGGCGCTGCGCCTTTCCCTGCTCGCAAAGTTCCCTTTCCTCCCTCCCTCCCTGCCTGCCCTGTCCCCCAGGGTTTCCCGCCCAGGTGCCCCTCCGCTCACCTCGGACGACGACGGCGCCCGCTGCTGTGGCCGCTTTCCCGAAGCGCGCACCGAGAGGCGGACGGCGCCGGGGGCACTGGAGGGCGCGCAGGCGCTGCGGCTCCCACCTCGCGGTGCGTGCAAGAGCGAACTCCGAGCCTCGGCTGGCCGGGGGTCGGGCTCTTCTTGTTGGCACTTCCGCCCCTTCCCGCTCGCTCCTCCCCTGTCCAGCTGAGGAGGGACTACGGGCTGGGAAGGTCGCTCAGCTGAGGGAGGAGGAAACCTGCCAGCTGCCACAACAGGGCGCGCGGAGGGAGGGAGGGAAGGGGGGTTGGTTGCCGGCGGCTGTCGCCCCAGTCCCGACGCTGGAAAGCCGAGCTCCAGGCAAACCGGCTTGACGCCTCGAGGTCTTTCCGTGTGCGCGCGGGACTCCGGCTTCCGCAGAGGCTTCCGCCCAGCAACTGTGTATAAGATAAGACTACAATATAGTGTTAGAAACAACAACACTTCGAGGCGCTGCCTGGTTACCTTTGTACGTACGAGGAAAGGTTCCGGCGCTGGCGCTCCTCAGCTTTGGAAGACGCAGTGGGAGAGTCTAAAATTATGCCCGGTGTGGAGAATGTGCACACAGAAAGGCTTTTTTTCTGGTTTTCTCCTACCATTGGAAAGATGAGAGTCTCTCACTGAAGCTGTCTTGCGAGAGACAGGCAGGATAAATGGAAAGACTTCTTCAAACAGGGCGTCGTTACGCTGTGGAATTCGCTGCCACAAGATGTAGTAGTGATAGCCACCCCGGTAACTCGAAAGGGCCGGTTGAATTCATGATTGAATTCAGATTAACGGGCAGTAGTCATATCATCTCTGGTCTCAGTGATAGTGGATCGCGTATCAGTAGTTCAATCCAGCTTTGGAAGCTCCAAAAATTTCTGAATTATAATTGTAATATCACCTGCCGCTATGCTTTTCTCTGTTCCCTCCGAACTTAGTTGCAAAGCTCACATCAACTGGGAGAAAAATAAAATTTTATATATTGCTGTCTCTCTTGTAAATGAAAAATATTTGAGAGTGGTTTGGTTTTATAATGGCAGTTGAGAGCCACTAGCTTTATAAAAGATCTCCCCCCCCTTTTTTTTTTTTAAAAAAGGGATTAATTTAGCAGCCTGCATTTGTGGACTTTCTCTGAGGAAGGGATGGCTGGTGGGAGGACTGTCTTGATGAGCAACTGTGATTCCATATTTACCACTACAGCACTGATAGCAGTTGCTTGAAAACATGTAAGAGTGAGGATACAGTTGCATTCATTGCAGCTGGTTGGCTACTCTGTTCAGAATGCCGGACAGTGTGGTTTAGTGATTAGCACATTGGATTAAGATTGGGAAACCTTGAGTTCAAATTTCAATTCGGCTGTAGAGGTTCCAGATTAACCTTATGCCAGTCATGCTCTCTTAGCCCAACCTTTACAGAGCAATTGCTAGGTTAAACCGTATATACTATCTTAACTTCTTTACATGAAAAGTGTATTTAAAATTTGTATGTATTATAAGTACAATGGACGTACCCAGGTGCACTTTTCAAGACTTGTACAGCTGTTCCTCTTTCCTGCCTGTTACAGTGCTTTAGGAGTGCAGGCCCAGTCCTGAATCTGCTGACTTTTGTCTTATTTCACTTTGTACCAGAGTAAACTGCCAGCCCTGGAAAAAGAAGTTCTGTTACCAACATGTTAGATCATGTCAGCCTTTCTTTACCACCCACAGTGACGTAGGTATTCATCACCTCCTAGCTACATGAAAAAGAATTTACTGTCTGCTGTACTAAATTAGAAGCACAAACATAGCATCTTTGCTTCAGAAGACACTAGCCCCACGTTCAATGCATTGCCAAATTAAAAGGGAATAACATTAAAAAAATAAACAAAAAGAGGACACAGCATATTTGCATGTGCAAGTGTTATATATGAAACTGTCCTCCACATTGTACTCTGTTGTCTTATTGTAGTGTAGAAGTGATCCTGGTCTCTCAGGGTCTGTACCTATCAAAGACAAGTTCTCTCAGGTTCTACCAAGCTGATAAATCTGAAAGTATGGCCATGGCAGTACAGCTTCTTTTCAAGAACTATCCAAGTTAATTATAGAAAGGCTTGTTACCTGATGGTTGACTACAATGTGATAAATTAGCTGGCATACCTGTGGACAAAATGACTGTACAGAATATTTGTGATACATATTGATGGGGAAATTACCAGTTTTCAAGGTACATGTACTTGATATTCAAAGTGCATGCAAATTTAGAAATTCAGTTCTTCCAAAAACCTCTGGTCTATGAATGCGTGATATTGTATTTCTCTATCCATGATTCAAAACAGCAGGAAATGGCTTGATACTGCTGCACAATTTCCTGTCTGGGTTGCCAACAGGAAAAATAATGCCAAACTTTACATAGCAAAGGGCAGCTGGAATGTTGGCAACACCCATGTCAGTAGTCAAGATGGTCTACAGAATACCTTCTTGTGCTCACTAGTAGAGATGGGGATATTCATATTCATATGCGAATTCCCCCGCACAGGAGGAGAATATCCCTGCACAGGTGGAGATAATGAGAGCCCCATGGTGCCGGATAGTCCACTCACCGATTCGCTGCTGCTGCGGGCTGCACAATTCCATCCTATCACTCCGGAGCTCGTGATTGGCGAGCCACTCCTGGGCGGGATGACAAGACTCTCTGCCAGGTTGAAAAGTGGCTTGCCGATAGTGAGCTCCGGAATGATTGGACATGATCGCTCAGCCCATGGCAGCAGCGGATCAGTGAATGAACTGTCCAGCACGATGGGGCCGGACCCTTTTTATCTGCACCTGTGCAAGGGTATTCGTATTCATATACAAATACGAATGCCCCCACCTCTAGTCGCCAGCATGTACAAAGAGACACCAAGCAGGGGGAAATCACAGAAGCTGAATCCTTTTTAAATTGCCTAACCCAAACATAAAGCAATAGTCCGGGCTGTTTTTCTGACATGCTAAATTCTTTGCTTTCATTGATTTAGGCCTTCTTGATGAAAGGACATTGCAATAAATAAGATCCCTGTGAGATTCCTCACTTCTAGACAAGAGGAAGACAAAGACAGTTAGGTTTTTTTTCCTTGCCAGTATCACTGTAATTTGTACTGACTGTCCCTGTGCAAAATTAATGTCATTTTGTTCCAAAAAGTTAGCCAATGAGAAATACAGTACTGCAATTGCCAAATGCCAGCTGTAGTGTTTAACCTTTCCCACATAGTCAATACTCTCCTGAAAAGAGCTTTCATTCCCAACCCTCTCCACCCATGTATGAACTCAGCTAATGCAAAACAGGTTAAAACAAGGGAAAGCTGGGAAGGATTTAGCTCTTTCTTCCTGCTTGCCAATTCTCTTCTACAAATACCGCCACACTTTCATATAATAATGTAAAAATACCAAGGCAGCTGAGGTATTGTGCTGCCTGAGGTGAAAGTTAAGATACTCCTCTCTTCAACTCAGTGTACAGAAACTGACTGGACTTGCAGTGGAATTTTTACTGCAGGATTGGCAACATAACAGCATTCTTCACAACATGGTGTTAAGATCATCAGGGTAGAAACCTTCACAGGTGGGGACATGGGAGTGGATCCCCCCCCTCTCCGAGACTCTGACACTCCCTCCCACAGGAGGCCAGGCTGGCCTCATCTTTGCTGTCCTTGTGCAAGCAGACAAAGACCCTTCTCTTCAGACAGGATTTCCCTAAGTGATTGGCTGTCTGAGAGGGATTTTTTTTAAAAAAATTGAGTGTTGTGCCCTGTTGCTTTGAATCTGGTTTTGGTGTCGATGATGTTTACCATTTTTAGTGTGTTGTTTGTTTGATTCTTAATATTCGTAAAATGTTTTTAGCTTTTAAATATTGTATTTTAATGATGTAAACCTCTTTGGGTCCTTTTTTAAAGGAGAAAGGCAATGTCAAAAAAATTAAATAAATAACCCCTTAATGTTGATTATGTAGCATACACAGCCCTCTTCATGGTTCTTCACTCTTTGACTCTTAGCATCCGCTTCCGGTGGCAGCTGTTTTATTGTGGAGGGACCAGGCCTCTCTACACTCCCAATCAAATGGAAGTTAAATTCCAATTCAAAACATCCAGGGAAACTGTGCCTTCTAGACAGTTATGCACTATTTTGTGCCTGGAGAATATTCAAAGGTATATTAACAATTTACATGTATGTGTGCATATACTATGACAGATATTCTATAAGTAAGGTAAAGTTTCCCCTTGACATTTAGTCCAGTTGTGTCCTACTCTAGGGGGTGGTGCTTATCGCCGTTTCCAAGCCATTGAGCCAGCGTTTGTCCAAAGACAGTTTCCGTGGTCATGTGGCCAGCGCAACTAGACACGGAACACCTTTATCTTCCCACCGAGATGGTACCTATTTATCTACTCACATTTTTAGAAGCTTCCGAATGGCTAGGTTGGCAGGAGCTGGGACAAGTGATGGGAGCTCACTACTTCACATGGATTCAATCTTACGACGGCTAGTCTTCTGCCCTTGCAGCACAGAGGCTTCTGCAGTTTAACCCTCAGAGCCTCTACGTCCCTATTCTATAAGTAGTTTGTTGTTATTTGCCATCAGGTTGGAACTAACTTATAGTGATCCTAATACGGGTTTCAAGGTACATGAGATTAAAATGTAAGAAATTGTTTTACCAGTTCCAGATCCCCAGTTAGCTTCTGTAGCAGAATAGGGATTCAAGCCAAAGCCTCTGGAGTCCTAGTCCATCATTCTGTCCACTCTATCCATCATATTGGGTATCCCATCCATAGCTTACCATTAATGCTAACTCTCAATTTGTGCTACAAAAATATTGAGTTTTTCCATTTGTTTATTGACTGATTGATTTGATTTGATTTGATTTGATTTGATTTCTATCCCACCCATCTAGACCAAAGGTCTACTCTGGGTGGTTCAAGATTAACTTAAATGGTTGAATCAGGTCAGAAGGTCTGACACTTGAGCACCATCCTAAGAGCCTTATAGACCTTTATAGACCATTAGGAAAAATCAGAAGCCTGTGTTTGTCACAGCTGGCATTTGCCCTGAAAGGGTTATTTCCAGTATGAAACCAGATAACCGTTTTCAACCACATCAAAATTCATCTGGATATCAAGGTAAAACATAGCTTCATTGTTTTAAAAATTCTAAGCAATATTAGCTTGTCTATGTCTGCAAACTTTGTATGTCTACATTGCCTCTTTGTTTTTGAGAAGTTACAG